GTCCCAGGCCTTTTCTTGTCTAACCCATAATACTTCTGCTCTGCCACCAGTACAGAACTAGCTGGTGCCCACTCCAGTCAGTCTTCTGCCCCCACACCTCCTGCTTTCTCTCCTGCTGCTAAAGGAGGAAGAAGGAAGGCCCTTCCTGCTAGGCTTCGGCCCAAATGCATGATGCCAGCACTCTGCCGACCTACCCAGAACTAGACCTTCCTACTACTGCAGTGTGCCAGTGAGCATCCCAATGATGTGATCTTGCCACTCTTAAAACAGACTTGGTCTACTGTACCTTCTGTAGCCCCTCAGTTCTAGCTCCCCTCCTGAAACTGTACCTATTGTGAGAATTCTTTCCCTGGGGAGACAAAAACCAACCCTTTCCTCATAAAGATAAGGCCTCAAAGACATGTGGGGAACCAGTGAATTTATTGGGCTTATCTACAGAACATGGGTGAAGTGCTACTCATAAAAGTGTGGGACCCAGCCAGGTGGTGGTAGCACACGCCTTTAATCCCAACACTCGGGAGGCAGAGGCAGGTGGATCTCTGTGAGTTCAAGGCCAGCCTGGTCTGCAGAGCGAGTTCCAGGACAGCCAGTCTACACAGTAAAATCCTGTCTCAACCCCCAACCCCCCCAAAAAAAGTGTGGGACCCCAAAGCAGCTGCAGCAGAAAATATTTTTTCTTTTTCTTTTTTCTTTTTGTAGTCCTGGATGTCCTGGAATCTGCTATGTAGATCACGCTTGCCCCTAACTCACAGAGTTCTGGGATTAAAGGCATGAGACACCACACCTGACTTTGTACCAGAAAGTCTTTACGCTCCACAGATGGCTTCCTATTAGCTGCAGAGATGGAGGTCTCCTACCTTCAGTTAACCTTCTCCAGTCTATCTACTTTAGGCCACAAGCAATTAGGTGCTGTGGAATAATCCTTTTGTATACTGTAAAGATTTGTCACTTGAATTGGTTTAATAAAACACTGATTGGCCAGTAGCCAGACAGGAAGTATAGGTGGGGTGACCAAACTAAGAATTCTAGGAAGAGGAAGGGCAGAGAGGGCAGTTGCCAGCCAGACACAGAGGAAGCAAGATGAGAATGTCATACTAAGAAAAGGTACCAAGCCATGTGGCTAAACATAGATAAGAATTATGGGTTAATTTAAGTGTAAGAGCTAGTTAGTAACAAGCCTGAGCTATCAGCTGAGCATTTATAAGCAATATTAAGCCTCTGAGTCAATTATTTGGGAAGCAGATGCTGGGTATTTGGGAGTTGCTGGCGAGACAGAAATGTCCACTACAACCCGGCAGCTGTTCTGCTCAGAGGACAGCATTGTATGACAGCAACCCATGCCCGCTTTCCCTTATGGCACTGTATGGTATGACTCCCGGGGCCTGGTCTCTCTGTTATAGCAACTGCATCCTGTGCTTCCTGGGGCCTCTGTTCTCCTTTATAGTAACAGCAACCTGTCTTCCCTACTCTTCTGTTCACCTTTACCTCAACATTCTTAACAAGGGTTGATTTGGGTTGTCAACTTGAGGGGATTTAGAATCTAGGAAACAAACTCAACACGCCAAGGAGGGCATTTCCAGAGAGGTTTAACTGAGGTGACATGACCTGCCCTGAATGTGTGTGGCACCATCCTATGGGGTGGTGATCCAGACTGAATAAAAATGAGGACACACCTGAGCCCCAGCATTCATTTCAGACATCTCCCGCCCCTCCTGCCATGTCTTCCCTGCCATGTTGGATTCCACCTTCAAACTGTGAGCCCCTAAGTTGCTACTTGTTAGTATTTGGTCATAGCATTGTGAGGATGTCTGTCCCCTCCAGTCTTTTGTTTCACAAAAGTGACTGCCAGGGATAGTAAGACACCACCAAAACTGAAAGTCACTCTCCAGATTCCTGAACGAACTTCCCTCTCCTCCCCTGCCTCTCCCATCTTGGTTGAACACAATGCTTAGGCCCAAATGGACTTAGATAAAATGGACAAATTCCTAGAAAGATACAAAGCATGGAACCTGACTGAAGAAACAGGTAATCTGAGTAGACCTATAGCAAGGAAGAAAGTTTGTCATGAAAAGCCATCTATTGGCTGGCAGGCTTGCTACACCTGCTAACCTGAGTTTGGTCCCTGGAATCCACTGTGGAAGAAGAGAGCTGATTCTGAGAGCCATCCTTTGACTGCCACAAGTGCGCTGTGGTACATGCACTAACATGACCCTCCTCACCACAAGCCACCCATTAAGACAAGACCAAGTAGGTCTATGAGATACTGAGAGAGTTCATACCAACTCTTCCCAAAACTATAAGAGGGGCCAGGTGTAGTGGCTCACATCCACAATCTTAACACTTTGGGAGGCTGAGCAAGATTACCATGAGTAGAAGCCTGGCATACAGAATGAGTTTCAGACCAGCATGGCCAGTAAGGTCTTGCCTCAAATAATTAAACCAAAGTGAAACAAGAACATAAAAGGAACACTTCCAACTTACTTTATTTGGCCAGCAGCAATCTGCTACTAAAACTGCCACAGACATCACAAGCAAACTGAAGACTAGACTCTGCCATGAACACTCAGGAGATAGCAGTAAACAAAGGTAGGTACATATAAAAAGGATTATGCTCCATGCCAAGTGGAATCTCTTCCAGAATACAGAGGTGGATCAGTATCTGAAAACCAGTCAACGTTATACACCACGGACAGAACAAAAACCTTTATGTGACCAGCAGGTGCAAAACAAAGCCCTAGACAAAAAACCCAGTTTCTGAACTGAACACCTTTAATCCCAGCACTCAGGAGGCAGAGGCAGGCGGATATCTGTGAGTTTGAGGCCAGCCTGGTCTACAGAGTGAGAGCGAGATCCAGGACAGGCACCAACACAACACAGAGAAACCCTGTCTCGAAAAACCAACCAACCAACCAACCAACCAACCAACCAACCAACCAAACAACAACAACAAAAAAACAAAACCCAGTTTTGTAAGGAAAAACACTGCGATGACTTGGAATAGATGGATTTCCTGAGCTCGATAAGGAACACCTACCAAAACCCCACACTCACAGTGCAAACTGCTTCTTCCAGATCAGCATAAGACAAGGAACCTGCTTTTCTCTGCTACGCCACAGGGCGCTGAAGGCTCTAGACCAGACAGAAAGGCAAGAATGAAAAGGCACCCAGGTGGGAAAGGAGGAGGTAAGGTGGGCTCTCGATCCAGAGGACATGTCTGTATTTCAGACATCTAGAGAACCCACCAAGAGACCATCTAGACTAGCAATGGGCTCCTCAGAGCTGCAGAATACAGGGCCAGCACACCAGATCACTATCCCTGACCCCTTTCCACTTCTTTCCCATTTGTCAGCTTTGCCCTGCTACCTGCCTGGCATGACCCCACACCCCAGCGAGGCCAAGTTCTGCTGTTCCAACCCTTTTGGTCCTACACTCTTTTGCACCTGGGGCTCTGGGTTCTGTGACTTTGCTGTTTCTTACACACTGGGGTTTACATCAGCCTACTATAGCAATCCAGTCTGGTGCTTCCTGGGCAGACCCACACCAAGCTTACTTCTTGCCCCTTTCTGCCCAATTGTCCCCCCCACTTGTTTCTCCCTGGCTACCCAGTCCTAACAATTATTTTACTTTTGAGACAGGGTCCTACTATGTAGTTTTGGCTGACTTGGAACTCGATTAGAAACGGATGGCCCTGAAGTCACAGAGATCCACTTGCCTCGGCCTCCCGAGTGCTGGGATTCAAGGTGTGTGCCACACCGGGCCTCTATCCATTTTTTATTTTGTTTTTTGAGACAGGGTCTCTTCTCCAGTATGAAGCCGGCCTTGAATTTCATCCAGATCCTCCTGCCTCCACCTCCCCAGAGCTGGGATAACAAGCACCGGATACCATGCCCAGCCTCATCCACCCCTTTCTGATTGCATGCACTCTCTCCTCCGCATCTGAGGTACAGCATCCGCTCTACCCACTGCCTTTTTTTGTGGGTAGGGAGGCTCTGACAGTGATAGAGGTTAAGCACTCTGAAGCTTACAGATGGGGGGCCAGTACGGCCACCCACACCCGAGGCGCTGGGTTCCTGCTGCTCCCCAGGGGCTGGTACATACACTGTCAGCTCTCCAGTGACATCTTCCGCATTGCGCATTGCGCACCCAGGTTTCACAAAAATACTCTTGCTCCTTTCAAGCACTAAAATGCAGGCCACACATGGCGTTGGTCTTAAGTACTCATTCCCTCTAGGCGCCCAACCTGAGCGAGAGATCATGCCAGTGCCCATCTGGGGTGAGGGGTTCGCGATTGCTCCGGACTCCGAGCGCAGCTGGGGTTGTTCTGGATCTGATGTCAGGTGCTCTTCCCGAGCCGCGCGCACTCTGCCTGCCCCGGTGAAGACCTTAAGGGTGCTCAGTTCTCAGAGAGCCGAATTGTCAGAGGTAGAGACGCAGGAGTGAAGCTCTATCAACCCGCGGCGCCGGATGATACTCCCCCAAATCGCAGGAAAAGAGGAGTCCCCAGGAGAGTATACTGCGCCTGCGCAGGACCCGGGCTGGGGGCGGGTCAGGGGCGTGTCTACTGTGGCAGAAGAAGGGGGCGAGGCTGGGTGGACGGGCGTGGTTACTGCGCTTGAGAATGAAGTAGAGGCGGGGCCGAGGGCGTGTCCACGACGACTGAGGACGGGGACTGGGCTAGGTTAGAGGGGCGTACCCACTGCGGAGGAGGCGGGGTGGGGGCGGGGCCGAGGGTGTGTCTGGAGCGCCTGAAGAAGGGGACAGGTACTGAGCTTGCGGAAGAGGGGCGGGGCGAGCGGGGCTACAGGGCGGTGCCTACTGCGCCTGCGGAGAAAGGTGGGGCTGCGGGAGGCCCTAAGTGCGCCTGCGTGACGCGGCGGCGGCGGCGCGTTAGCTTCTACCCGTTGGCCGCCGCCTCAGCTGCCGCTTCTCCGGGGCCGCGCACGCGCCGCCGTCGCCGCCGACCCCGGCCCGTCCCCGCATCGCGCCTGCCCCGCGCCTGCCTTGGCCGGCGCTTGCCCGCCGCCGCCTCCCCGGCCCGCTCGGCGCCTTCTCGGGCTCGGCTCGGCGCCCGCAGCATGCAGCAACAGCCCGGGTGGCGGCGGCGGCCGTGAAGCAAGGGCCGTGCGCCCGAGCGGGCGGCGCGGGAGGGCGGCGGCGTCTTTGTTGCGGCCGGGCCGTCGCGGCCTTTGTCTGCAGATGGACGCGGGCGGCCGCTCCGCCGCCGAAGGCTGGAGGAGGATGGAGGCGCCGCCGGAGGGCGCCGACCTGGTGCCGCTGGACCGCTACGACGCGGCGCGGGCCAAGATCGCAGCCAACCTGCAGTGGATCTGTGCGAAGGCCTATGGCCTAGGTGGGCGGGCGCGGCTGGGTCCGGGTCCGGGGGATGGGATTACAGGGGGACGAACGGGGAACGAATAGGGCTCTGGGATGGTACTAGAGGGGAACCGACGGAGCATGGACTGGTGTCGGACGCGACCGGGAGATGTCGGGCGGATGCGGGAACCGGGGGATGGGACCAGCGGGAGACCGACTGGGGTCGGACTGGGACGGGGGATGGGACCAAAGGGGAATGCGATAGCTGTAGGCTGGCATCAGAGGGAGAGAGACGGGGAACGTATTGGACCAGGTATGACACCAGAGGGGTCAGAAAGGGGACTGACATGCGGGGAGGTGAGACCAAAGAGGGTCGGACGCTGGACGAACCGGGCAGGGAGGTAGGACCAAAGGGGACCCGACGGATCTGGGGGATGGGACACTGGGTAAGGTCTGGGGACAAGGAATGGGAGACGGAGCCAAGGTTGGGAATGAGGCCGGTGACAGGGCCAGGGCGCGCCTTTGCGTGGTGTCGGTTCAAGACTTGCTGTCCTGGCGGCGGCCCAGGTGAGCGAGCGCTGAGGTCGCCCGGGGTCGGTCCTGGCACGGGACTGCGCTCGAGTGTCATCCATACTCCGAGTCTCGGGTGGGGTGGAGGGTGCCTGTCTGGTGCAGTGTTATTCTCTAGCGACTGGACTGGCCCTCTGAGTCTAAGAAAGACTCTCTTGTCTGAATAACCACTGCCTAGGCATCTCCTACTGCAACAGTGACCAGAAAGGCTTAGTAGTTTGAGTAGTTTGAGGCTTAGTCCAAGGGGACAAACCCAGAGCCCCGGCTATTCTGGTTTATGTATTAGGAATTTTGATACTTACCAGGACATGAGCCATTGGAAACTCCAAAGATATATTTTGTGGTACACAGATTGTGCAGAAACTGTCATGATCCCATTTGGTTAATTCCTATTGTGAAGAACAAGGTAACCTTGTGGTGAAACCCCATTTATGAGGCCTAATATGCTTAGTGGATTAAGACGCTCTAGTTTGGTGCTCTGGGAACTTTGCAGTCCAAATAGTGCTGGTAATGAATTGACTGGGAGGCTCTAGTATCAGTGACAAGTGCCTTGTTTCAGGCACAAAATGAAGGGTTAAGAACTTGTGAATCCCCCTAATTTGGAGCATAAATTGCCCTTGTTCTGGCAAAAACATTACAGACAGGCTAGGTTGCTGAGATAACCCTTTCAGGAAAGGGTTAGGTGACCACTTTAGAAAACTTGCTAAGCAGGTGTTCTCTGTGACAGTGGACTGTGTCGTTGCACTTCCCACTAGTCATAAGGACAGACATGTTTAGTGAGTTTGGGGAGTAAATAAACTGTTATTTTAAACTTAATGCTGTGGTGTAAAGCTAGCCGTGAGGAAGTAGTTCTTTCTCTTACAGTTTTCAGTTTTATAATTCTTGGTCACTGTTTCGGTTGGGTTTCAGGTTTTGCTTGGTGGTGGAGAAACACTGCTGTGTAACTGGCTTTACCTGACTTTAAAAAGTACAATTGAAGAAGCTGGGTGGTGGTGGCTCATGCCTTTAATCACAGCACTCCAGAGGCAACACAGAGAAACCCTGTCTTGAAACTTGCCCCCCCCAACCCAAACCAATCCCAAACACTGAATAACCACTGTAATTGATAAAAAGATGTCTGATACTTAACTAGAGCAGATAGTGAGTGTCTAGCCATTGGTCATATCTACCATCACCAGCCCCACAGACCCCTTCTTACCTTGGCAGCCCCCCCCCCCAAACCTTTGCTTGCTGTTCTGAGCTGTATCATTCAGTTTTTTGTTTGTTTTTTGAGACAGGGTTTCTTTGTGCAGTCCTGACCGTTCTGGAACTTGCTCTGTAGACCAGGCTGGCCTCAGACTCACAGAGATCTGCCTGCCTCTGCCTCACCAGTGCTAGGATTAAAGCTTTGGGCCACCACTGCCTGGCATTATTCAGTTTTGCATATTTTTTTTTGGAAACAGTATCTGGCTTGGAATTTCTTATTTAGACCATTCTGACCTTGAACTCAAGAGATCCACCTACCTCTGTCTCCTGTGTGCTGGCATTAAAAGTGTGTGCAGACATACTGGGCTAGTTTTTCGTATTTTCTAGCCTTTCTAGTGTTATCTTGGAGGCTTTCTTTCTTTCTGTAGTACGTTCTTAAGTTCATCTTAGCTCCCAGCATCTTTTACCCTGCTGTTTAGTATTTGAACAAGGCTAGTCTACCACATGCCATGGTCCTACTCACAGGTGCCGGCTCATTTCAGATTTTTGCTTTTAAACATGGTGCATCCTTGTGTACAAGTTTTCACTTCTGTTTTAACCTTTGTGCTGGGCATGGAACTCAAGGCTTTGCTAGGCAAGTACTCTTGCTGAACTGCCTTCTGTGTTTTTAAGATTGGCCATGTGAAAATAGTTTACTTAGACTCTGTTTATTTACTTTCTAGTTTCTTTAACGGGGTGTGTTTGGTTATGTGTAGCCTTAACATTCAGCTTGGGGTTTGTAGTATTGAGATAAATTTTCCTCTCTCGTTGTTGGCACCTGGTTTAGTTTAGTTTTCTTCTAGCACCAGATTACTCATGAGATCTGATGCCTCATCAAATAATGGAGCAAATGAGCTTTACGGTTTTAGATTTGTTTTTTTGAGACAGGGTTTCCATATGTAACAACCCTGGCTGTCCTGGAACTGGATTTGTAGACCAGGCTGGCTTGGAACTCACAGCGATCTGCCTGTCTGTGTGTGCCACCATGCCCAGTGGTTTTAGAGTTATTAAGAGTGCTCATATGAGGACTTGGGAGGAAGAGCAGGACTGAGGACCACCATGGGGCCTGAGCCTAGGTGACCTCATGACCTGAGACAGGACTCTGCTAGCAGAATGCACTTCATATGGGTGTTAGGAGGTCTAGTTCCCTTCCATTAATTGTTGCAAATGAGGTTTCCATTCTATACCCAGGGAGGTGCCAATTTATATGACCAAGCTGGCTCAGCTAGAGAGGTACTAAAGGTGTTTGTAGCCTGGTATGAATTTAGTTCTACCAGCCAGGAGTTGTGTCTTACGGGAATCAGGGTGGGGAGGGAGTTTTGGCAAGATACATAGGGGACCCCCTGCCCCCACAAAACTTTGATCCTATTCCAGGGGTAAATCTTTTATTTTTGGCAACCTCCATGTGCCTCTCAGCTTAGGCTACTGTTCACTGGTCATGCTGCTTTCCATTTGGATGCTTCAGTGACAACGTAGTTTGAGTGGGTGGTCATAGGGAAGGGGTCTTGTATGCTTTATGTGTTATGCGCTTTTTGGTTAAGTCACGAAGTGAAACCAGTTTTCGTTCTGTGTAGGAGTTGAAAATGTGGAACTGTGGGGCTAGCTACTGGAGACTCCGTTGTCACTTGCCCCCGGGAATCTATGTCCCTGTACCAGGCTGCTGTCTGTAGTGAGTGACAAGCTCTGGAGCTCATCCTAGGCCTTGGGCTTATGGTCATGAAGAAACATTTTCTCCAGAAATGATTCTGCTCTCGTGCCACAACCGAGATTTGGGGGATGTCTTGAACTTCTATTTTTAGGTTCCTTCTCTTCTTTTTCTGGCAACTCTTGCATTGCATTGACAGTCTTTTAGTTATTTTTTAGGAGTAACTTATTAGGCATGCTGAAAATTGTTCACTTAAATGTGTCTACAAAGAGGAGCAAAGTCTGCTTAGCTGCAAGAGTGTGGTAGCGTTTGTTGTTTGATAGAGAAATTCCAAGGGGTGAGTGGAAGGACCATTTATTTTACAGGGTAGTGTGCTGGACGAGGGCTGCAGCAGTCCTGTCTTTGCTTCTGGTCCATTTGCATTGTGTTTGTGCCCTTAGCAAGCTCAGAGTATCTAGGCTTTGGTTTCAGGGGACAGTGGGGGAATGCGAGTTTTTATCTCTCAAGGACAGTGGAACACACAGGGACCGGATGAGAAGGCTCTCAACTGTTTGCAAGGAGATTGCTCTGTGGCTCAGCAGAAACTGATTTGTCCTTCTGCCCCAGAGCTGAGCTGTCCTGAATCCTAGGCCCAGTCAGGACCTCATCCTTCTCATTTTACTAGCAGCAGCAGGCTGAGTTAGAGAGGGGTGGTGGCCTGGCTGGAGGGTTAGGTCTACTAACCAGAAATGCTGCTCCCCATCCTCTTTTCTACCCCCCTGATCTCCCATGCTCACCAGAGTCCTCAGACTACTAATTTGAAAAGCACAGTGTAGAGGAAGAAGTCATAAGCAGGTCTGTGGCCCTGTGCAGCCCAGTTCCTAGGAAATCTGTGCTAGAGCTGCTGCTGGCAACAAAGTGCTTTTAAGCTGATTGGTCTACCCAGTGTTAGGAGCAGAGCCCTTTCCTAACTCTAGGGGTCACCTCATTGCCCAGAGTCATGGCATTGTTTGGTTTAGAGGCATTTGGTCAAAAGGAGTTCACTGCTTGGAACCCCTTTCCATAGCTCTAGAGCTGGCTGGGACTGCTCACTGCTCCTTTCTTTTCCTGGACTGGGCAGGTTTCCCTGGAAGCAGTCTGCTGCCTGGGCCAGTTCAGAAGTGTGTTACCAAGTTGTTCTAGGTCACAATTATATTCAGACTACTGGTTCATGAGTTTAGATTGTGGTTTTATTTATTTTTATTTTAAGTGTCTGGGTACATTGTCTGCATGTATGTCTGTGCACCTTATCTGTACCTGGTGCCCACAGAGGCTAGAAGAGGCCATCAGGTCCCCTGGAACTGGATGTACATATGGTTGTGAACTCCTTGTAGGTGGTGGGAATTGAACCTGGGTTCTCTGGAAGAACAGCCAGTGCTCTTTAGCGCTGAGCAATCTCTCAGCCCCTAGACTATTGTTTTTAAACAGCCTTTTGTTATTCTTGGCAAGTGAATTGGGTGTTTCTGGGTGGGAGGGTCCAGGATCCTCAAGTGTTTGCTGACCATGAGAAGAGAAGCTTGATGCTGTAGGAGCTGCTGGCTGGCAGTGGTTGCCGTGACCCTTTCTCTACAGGGTATCTC